TGCTTATTCTTCTCGGGGGAATCTGTCTTACAAATGAGCAGTAGAGTTTAATCAATATGACTATTTCAAGTGTAATTTGCTTACCTATGAAATAAAGATAATTTTTAATTTGAATTTGAGTGCATTTGGTTATGACAAGGAGGATAGATGAAAAGTGTACGTAAATAGCTTTGTTTTCATGCACTGTACTATCTCGCAATGATATCGACTGTAAACTGGCAATCGGTACTATCTCAATTTTGACAACTTTACAGGTTGAAGAAAAAAATAGTTTGCGTCATTTATATAGCATCTGATTTAATAAATAAAAATACGTAGTTTTTAAATATTTCTATCACACATGCACTACGTATTTTTATTTAATGAACCAGATGGCATATAAATGACGAAAACAATTTTTTTCTTCACCTGTGAAGTTGTCACAATTGAGATAGTACCGTTTGCCAGTTCACAGTCGATTTGCCACTCTTGTGTGTGGGAGATCTTATGTTTTAAATAAAAATAGATTAGAAGGTACTCCAATCCGCCTCTGACTGTAAATCGCGAAGTACATTTACACTGTGTGATTTGGAAATTGGATTTGTATATCTCGTTTCTTCATTAGATTATTTTTCTCGGTCGATTGTCTTTTGTTTTTCCGCGTTACAAGGTAAACTATACGGTTTGTTCATTTGATAGACAACGTCAAAAAGAACACTTTAAAACTGTAACTACAAACCAGGGCGTCACCCAAGAATCACCGGCACACACATAAACAACACCTGCTCCGCTCCAACCTATACATCTGACCGGTGTTAGAGCAAGATGGAAGATGGAAGGACCAGAATCAATACCACATGACATCAAGTTGTTTTATTTTGCTGAGGACATCCAGGAATCGTTTTATGTTATAGCGAGACATTTCATGTAGGTTTTTGTTGCTCTATTACGGAGAAATGGGGGGTTATGTTTTGTTCTCTTTAATAGTTGACATATTTTTGTAATTGGTACTACGATATTTGTCGACATTGGTGGCCCATCGGTTAGCACTGGACACGTGGACAATAGACGAGGGGATCGCAGGTTCGATTACCGGCAGAACCAATTTGGTTAATAAACTTTTCTAAATTCACTAGAATTACTACTAAGTGCCCCAAAGTGAAAACAGGGAATTGTCTAGTTTAAGAATTGGGAATCGCTATTTAGTACCTACACTTTGGTTATCATGTAATGTTTTAACCATTGACTGTTATTCAATGCAAAAACACATTTTATAATCGTTAAATCTTAACGCAAAACACAAATAAATGATGATGGGATTGGAAGAATTTGCTTAATACGATAAAGCCACAGTTCGCGTATATTAAAATTTTTCTTTTCTTTGATTATGTCTAGCATTTGCATATGGGTATAGAATATACTGTCCACTGTACGTATATAAAATAACCAAAATGCTGCAATAAATAATAATAAACAAAAGTGGCAGCCACTGATGCAAGGATTAACAACCCCTATAAAGCATCCCTTGCTTGATGAAGGGTGGTCACCCCTCGATTTATGGACCTTTTGACGGAGTGCGTTCATCGAACGGCGCACTCAAAACCGGATTCGCGTTTGTGTTAAATTTTCAATATATTGAATTATATGCGTATAATTCATTGCTTTTTATGCGTTCTGGTTTTCTGCACGGTTAATAGATGACGGGTATATTAGTAAAAGCAGTATAAAACACTACTTCGGAAAGAAGTAAGTGAAGTTTCTCATGGTCTATACAAATACATTTTATTGCACACAAGAACAAATATAACTTTGCCCTAAGATCAGAAATGGGCAGTGGGATAAAACCAACCCGGGTTTTAATCGAGGTTTTACCAAAAGCGCTCCATTTCTGCCCAAAATCGTGGGCACAAAATGGGTAAAGATATTGTAAAACAATGCATTTTAGAGTAAATTCAAGCACACAACGCAATTGAGTGAGTTTGACCATAGATTAAATAACGTTCTTGTACGTACGTTTCATTTCAAGCATGATTGAATGTTTACATATATTCTAAAGTATTGATTATTTTATAGCACACGTATAAAACATTAAAGTTATAAAATACCTAATCAAACAATCTATTAAACAGTAATGACATAAAGTAAAAAATAAAAGACAGTATTACAAAAATGTTTAGACAATATGAGACATAAGAATGTTGCAAAGGAACGTTTTGACAAGAGGCCTCTTGCCAATGTCAACGTCAAAGTTTGGCAGATTTGGGAATATTCAGCAAGTTCTTTATTATTTTTGGGAACAAACTGAAAACTTGTTGTTTTCAAGTACTACGAATAAACATCACACAAAAAAAACAAACCCTTAACAACTTTATAACCCCAGCTTGGACAGGCTGTACTAAATCAGCTTTTTTGATGCTATTATAGTGAATCACAAGTATTGATAGATCTTTTTAATGCACGTCGTCAGAACACTGGGTCACAGAATACACGGGATGTCGCCATCTTTCTTTGAACAAAACTTGATTTACAACTAATACACACATCAAAAGTGTCCAGGGATCAAGCACCTTTTTGCCAATTACTGAAAATCAGGTTTTTTTTTTAATCAGTTTTAGGACCGATGGATTTTTTTTGGTCAATTTTATAACTAATTTGAAAATGAAATTGTAAAAAAAAGCGTTGGTGTTAAAAAAAATCATTAAATAACCTGATTTTCTGTCATTAGCAAAAACAACACTTTTGATATTGTATTTTGTATTTAAGTAGTTGTAAATAGTTTTTGCTCTCGACGATAATGGGTTTTAACTCGATTTAAATCCAGCGTTAATAAAGCGCCGGGTTAAAATATTTCTTTTAAACTAAATTTTTATTTTCTAAGGGCACAGTTGTCCATTTTTAACCGACTTCAAAAAAGGAGGAGGTTCACAATTCGACTGTATGTTGTCGAATGTATGGTTTTATGTGTGTTACGCAATAACTCCGGCATTTGTGAACCTATTTTGATGATTCTGTTTTTGTTGGAAAGAGGGTACGTCAGAAGTGGTCCCATTTAAATTTGAAGAAAATATTCCGCCCCTAAGCAAACTAGGGGATGAATTACTTTTGAGGTCGGTTTTTTTACTATACCTAATTTTTTCCAATCAGCATTTAAATTTTATTTTCTAATATCTAAAAGTCTTGTTACGAGAGCTTTGAAAGCTGTCGGCAAAACTGGTTTGCTTCCCACTGTACTCAATTAAGGAAGCCGATATCCATTCTGTAAATGTCGCACGCTCAGTAATAAATTGTCGTAGTTCAAAAAATTTTTTGGCAAACTGACAAAGGCAACAATTTTTTTTTTTTTGATCAGCCGGCATTGTTTAAGCCTAATTATTATATTGGTAGCAGCAGAACTCCTTATGAAAGAGTTCATCCAGGGAAGTACTTCCACCTTACCTCTTTCTGCCGCCAAGCAATAATGTCAACATTACTGTGTTCCTGTCTTGAAGGGTAAGAGGGTGCTGGTGAAATTACAGGCACATGGGACTTAAGAACTTATTTCTCAGAGTGACAGGCGCTGTGGCAATGCCCCTTAGATCTTTGAAATTTAAAGCTCTGAGTGGCACTGCAACTGTTATGAATAGTACTTTAAAATCAGGCGCATAACTTGTTCGTCCCGTCACATTGTATTGTAAAAAAAAGAATCAATGTAAGCACTACGATACAAAGAATAAGTAATGGCATTTTGGTGTGTACTGTTTAAGATTTACGCGCTGTTAGTTACAGAACCCGTAATTTCTCGTTTACAAGGCTCATGTTCTCTCTACAGAACTATAACTAATTCATTTTGACCGAATTAACGCCTCTCGATGAACAATTACGAATTTCGTGACAATACAAATCTACCCTTTATTATGCTCCCCTCCTTTAGCTGTCTCTTTCACTCTCGTTGAGGATTGCGTGTGCTTGTCTCTTTCACGTGCACTGTTTATTCGATTCTTTTATGCGTTTTGTTTCGAATCGCGTTTTTGATTGGTTGATGTGTTTTACAAGTTCGATGGCGTACTCTGTTACTATAGTAACAGTTGAGATATGTATGTTCGTGCTTTGTTGGCATTTAAAAATCGGTTAGGTTAGGCATTTACGTATTCATTAGTGACAGTAACTTAACTGTTGTAATGCACATTTTTCTTAAAATAAATTGCCTTTAAGAAAACGATTTTTTTATGAAACAACAACATCATGGCAATCCTGACTTTAGAGGATCCCTCAAATTTTTCAACTAATAGTGTCGCCTTCTACCAACACTTTCTTTTCCACAGATTTTGATTTGGCTGATAAGCTGGAGTAATTTCTACTAATTGTGCCTCGTGATGTGCCCGTAGCATGACGTCTGCCTGCACTTAATGGTGTTCATAAGCTCCATCTTTTTCTTCAGTTTATTGAGTACTTCCACATTTGTAACCCGGTCACGCCACGAGATTCTCAAAATATCTTGGTAAATCCACATCTCAAAAGCTTCCTTGTTGTGTTCTGTGTGAGAGTCCAAGTTTCTACGCCATATAGTACGAAGAAGAAGACGTTACAACTAATGAATAGGAAATGAAACTATTTTTCCGGATTTAAATCAAGTATCGAGTTTTAAGTAAAGTTTCGGGCTCTTCATGGGTCCCGTGGGCTTGGTTGACTGAGGTGGTACAGTCATCAACCAGTTATGTTTAATATTAATGCAAACCACCTTATTTTTTACTATAGCTACAAAACTTATTAATTAAATACCTTTTTTATAAATTTTACAAGGAACATTCCAATTTACGCTACATATGTTTTATTATAACAATATGCTTTTTTTATACAATTATATTAATTATTATTCAATACTAATCAATAGTGTAGTGGAAATAAAGACTTTTTTTTATTGTTTTTATTACCAAATGGTCCCATGACCTGGCTGTATCTATGTCATCTCATCTGTGTTCTGCTGCTGCAGCTAAGTCTATATTGTATAAAATATAACTAACATTCTAAATCTCTTGTTACAGATCTCAATGGAACGAAGTGCAAAGGATTTGTGAAGTGTTTAGTGCAGTTTAGTCGAGTGACAAGTGACTGTGCAGTGAACACAATGTATGCAAGTAGTGGACATTTGGACCCGGAGTTCTGAATGAAAACTTCGATTGAAGGTAAGTGTAATTCGATGCAATTCTGCAAGTATTAAGTTTTGAAATTTCGCAGCTTAATATTCGATCAACTAAATTTATATAGCAGTGGAGCTCCTTGTGTTCGTCCAGGGAAATACTGCCACCTTACATATTTCTGCCGCCAAGCAGTAATGGGAGCATTACTGTGTTTCGGTTAAAAAGGGAAGGAATAATAATAGTGCTGGTGAAATTGCGGGCAGGTGGCACTTGTCTCAAAATGACGGGCGCAGTGGCAGTGCTCCTAAGATCTTTGCGATTTAAAGCTCTGAGTGGCACTGCAACTGTCATGGATAGGCTTGTCGCTTACCACCAGGCGCATGACTTGTTCGTCCCGATACTTAGTATCATAAAAAAAAGCAATTAGGCTCGACTGAGACGTTAATATCATCAAGTCTTTACTTTCTTATTGTAAGTGACATAAAGTTGAATTTAAATTTTTGCTCATGACCATTGCAAGCCGATCTCGTTGCCGTCGCCGGTCCTTAACCATCAGACGGCGTCACCGACGATTTTGCACGCATACATCTCTCATCTGATTTTGGTTTGATGCGGAATAACCTGTATCCATGGACTTTCCACGCTTCGCAGACAGGCATCTGTTTATCTGACATCTCATACATAGGGAAACACATCCTTGTCAATTGCAATTACCCTGTATATAACTTTCCACGAAAACCACATGATTAAATAAGGTCCTAATTTATTTCCTGCGATCCTTTTAAGACCGTCTTTATTACAGGAAACCAAGCAAGTTTTACTACGGGAACACCAATGGAATAAGAAACATCTATTTTACTTGCGTCGAGTGGGCTTCAATGTTTTTGTTCATTTTTTTGGCATTTGTAAGGGATCTCCATAATAAAGCTGTTTATATGACCTTTAAAAGCAGGGCTGGGCAAAATACATGCTATGTCTTAATTGAAATATAAAATACTTTCATGAGGCGTATTTGAAACAAAAAATACAAAATAAGTAGGTACTTTGGTCCGATTTAAAAAAAATACAAATTACATAAAATTCAATACAGAGTACTAAAAAACCGACCTCAAAAGCCATTCAATCCCCTAGTTTGCCACCCTTAGGAGTGGAATATTTTCCTTAAATTTAAATGGGACCAGTACTGAGATATTGTAATTTCCAACAAAAAAAATCATCCAAACCGATTTACTAATTAGTTAGCGCGTAACATACATAAAAAAATATACAGACGAATTGAGAACTTCTTCTTTTTTTTGAAGTCGGTTTAAAATAGTCAATAGTGCTGCGCCGTTCGCGTAGTAAAATTGTCACGTAATAGTCAGTACATTAAAAAAAAGTATTTTCTTGAAAAATATTTGAAATATCAATCACAAATTACATTTTTAGGGAGTAATTGAAATACAAATACAAGATGCGTATTTGTATTTTAAATACGTATTTCAATTATAAGTACCTAATTCAAATACTGCCCAACCCTGTTTAAAATATATCGCGACTAATAAATTAGGACCTTATAATATACTTATTATAATGTATAATATCTTCTATAGACATACGAATACTCAATGTAATAATTTAGTATCAGGCGAGCTCTTGGTGAAATAGTACGTCCAGTAGGGCGAGATACTACTATATGCAGTATCTCGCGCTTTATATTCCGAAAGTAATTACTTTCCAAACTGTCATTGCAGTGACAGCCACATCAAAATCCTACAGTTTAGAGATTTAGAAGCCTTAAAATCTCGTAAGGCACATCTAATTTACCTCGTGACCAGTCAAAAACCTAATAAGCCACTTGCACCAATCCAAAACATAGTAAGTATTCGAGACTTGCTAGGTTTTAAAGTAGTTAAAGCGCCGTACTATTTCAAGACCTCAAGCTACACCATTAAATTACACTGTTAAAATGAAAATTTATCAAGGACAACCGTGTTTTTTGATTCTCCTGTAAAATTTTGTCTAAAGCACTTACTAGGTTTTGCTCTGGGTCGAGTGTAAATAATATCATCGTAAAAAGTCTGATTTCATTCGAGTAAAGACCCCCTTGGACGCTTTCTACGACACACTAAAATGCGTCACAAGGCAATGTAAAAACAAAAAATCGTACATTTAACTACCGTGATTCATTAGAGTCCACCCGTCCGGCCCACTCGGCCGGCTTTACTGGCCGCTGTAAGGTCAATCACCCGCATTGTTCCGACACCAGAGTTACCTCTCTTCGGTTTTATGGCGGAATTTCTGTTGTCAATTTGACAGTAAGACGATTTAATCACAGCATAATGGACGTACAGTATGATGATTTCAATTTCAACCGCCATTTTTAACCGACTTCAAAAAAGGAGGAGGTTCTCTATGTATTATTCGTATTCTCTATGGTACGCGTTTACTCCGGCATTTATGAACAGATTTTGATGATTCTTTTTTTGTTGGTAAGAGGGTACCTCAGTATTGGTCCCATTTCAAATTGAAGACAATATAGACTTGTAAGGGTGACAAAACAACGGAATGAATTTGATTTCGCGCACTTTCCGGTAAAAACTTGGCAAATACGAGTAGATATAATTCCACGAACTGTTGAGGTCAGCTTTTTTTATATCTAGGATCGGCAGACTAAAGCACATGAGTCAAAATCCAACATCATTCATTTAAATGAATACATCTACCGGCAAAAGCATGTAAGTCAAATTCTTTTGTTACTTCATAAATTTGTAACTTTATTTTAGAGGCGTCTTTTTCAAACTTATCATTCTCTTCACATCTTCCAACTCTATAACCAACACAAAAAATATATAATTATATCGCACTGTTAATAGAATAGTGTATTAACTCAAAATGTGTATTTTCTCAGAATCGACGAAAAATTAATTACTCGCTTGCTGTGAAAAATAATTAAAATGTATGTGTAGGTTATAGTTTATTACAGAGAATTTCCTACTTGCCAAATATATTTAAAAATAAAAGAGAAAAAAAAAATTATTTCATATTTTTGAATAAGGACTATTTTGGCCAGACCTAGCTCACATGAAGCGTGTCTCATTTTGAGGTAAGTAGATATCTTTTAGTTGTTTTTTACAATATTATAACTACGGCTTTATTGACGTGTAGAGAATCAAATTTTACGTTCAATAATGGTATATCTTGAATGTCACATATTTTGAGTTAGAACACTAATTTAATAGCAGTGCGATATATTAACAATGAACACTTTTTTGAGTTATGTGCCTTAGTCCGCCGACGCTAGATATAAAAGTTACAATTATTTGTAACTAAATACAAATATCGAACGCTAAGAACATTCAAGGATATCTAACAGGTGGCGCTAGACAAAAAAGTCGTTAAAATCCAATCAAGATCTGCAACAAGCACATAGAAATATTCGTAAGGTCTGCTGGTTCGTCCCGTGGCTTCATTGGCATGGATTGCCCGAGTGTGCTGGTTCGAATCCAGTCGGATCGATGGAGCCGTGTTCGATCTTTGTTATTAATAATTATAACAAACTAGTGAAGTAATTTTACAAAAACATAATTGAATGTCATGGTAGTCACATACCGTGATATTCATGAAATATGATATCAGGGCTCCAAGATCGGCTAATTTTAAATCATCTCAGTGGCCGTAGTTTGGCTGAATACGTGTGATAAACCTCCCCGTGACAATATGTAATTCAGTTGATAAATCATACATTTCGAAGAACAACGATATAAAGGACAACGATATAAAATTGCGTATATATGCTATCTTTGTCGTTTAATCATCGCCGCCAAAGCCATGAAACAAAAAATATATTGTCATATCGTTTGACGTGCTCAATTTTTACGTTGATAAAATTACTGTGTAAATGTTTTAAAATCAGCTGTGACCTTGCAGCCATTGGTCGCCGGCACTCGCGATGACCGCTATTGTGATAAAATTTTAAAATTTTTTATCACTCGAATTTCACAGCTAAATTTGGATACTATAGCTTTATCGAGGTGGCATATTACGGGGGCAGTTGTATGACGATAAGAGTGTCAATGGCAGGATTTTGTACGTTTGGTATTCTGCTAAAAGTTATGAGAAGGGGCTTTGTCAACGGCGACCCATCGAGCTACTATTCAACCGCCATTGCAATTATTTTGGTGTTCTGCTCTTCAATGGCGAGTCAATGGCCTCTCGCAGCGATCTGGTTAGAAAACTGACTTCAATTGCAAGAACCTGCGGTTTGTCAAAGTTAATTCAATATGTAAATTTGTCCATGACATGTATAGACATAGACTTTTCTTACAATACCAAGTATCGGAACGAACAAGTCGTGCGCCTGGTGGTAAGCTACACGCCTGTCCATAACAGTTGCAGTGCCACTCAGAGCTTTAAATCGCAAAGATCTGAGGCTTATATGAGACTTATTATAATATTCTTTGGCAGCTGTATATAACCTTTATATTTACGTGATAATTAAGTGTATATTCGTGAGTTTAGGTGTACGTGTAAAACTTTTTATCATTTTATCCAGGGGCTCTATATGCGAATCGCGATGCAAATCTTTCTTTCGTAAATACCAACAACCATTCATATAAATTATTTTCTTTTGAAACTAATTCCATGTTTTTAAGCAGTAGAGCTAGCTCAATGTGAAAAGTTCATCCAGGAAAGAACTGCCACTTTAGCTATTTTTGCCGCCAAGCAGTAATGTGAGCATTACTACGTTCCGGTTCAGAAGGGTAAGAGTGCTGGTTATATTACAGGCACATGGGACTTGTCAATTTATGTCTCAGGGTGACGGGCGCAGTGGTAGTGTCCCTCAGACCTTTTTACAGTTCTGTAACTGTTATGGACAGGCGTGAATAGCTTACCATCAGGCGCACGACTTGTTCGTCCCGTCACTATATGTTATAAAAAATATTTAGGTTACTCCCAAAAAGACAGCTTTATTAACAAGGTCTAATTTTTTTCCATTTATTTCTATGGTTGGACTAGTCGATTTTACATTAGGTAATTCAAATTTAACACACTTTGTCTTCTTG